AAGCCTAAAGTAACCGATCCAATTCGCATCTATGCGTATTAGATTGGATTGATTAATGTGTTAAGTGCAAATTGGATTGGGATGCAAACTTGTCAAAACTGCACCCCACCTATGCAGATCGGATTGGTTTAAGTCAAAAAGTGAGAACTGGATTGCATGGAAACGTGTTTGTAATATTATTAATTTATGTAATAAGATGGTTAATTTTTTGAAGTACTTGACATTTCAAGTTTAAAATATAATTATATAAAGTTAAAATTTGAGATATAATTAATTTTATGTGATATTATATTAAACTACAGAAGAAGGCAAATGAACAAAAACATTTGCAATATATACAGATGAGTTTTCATTGGTTGCATTTCCATAAATGGTATTAAATATAAAAGTTTAATAACGTGATATAATAAGAATCTAATTAATATATACACATACATATACACATATATTTTGTGTTAAAGTATAATAGAGGGCATTTGACAGCTCCATCACTGTTTGCAAAACCTTGATGCATTACACACTAATAGGTAAGGAGATAGAAGTGCATAGATTCATTTATTTATATGCCAAGATAATATGATGATAATTATTAAAAAAAAATTAAGTACGATGATAATTGATGATATATTACAGTTGTTGGTTAAGATTCTTATTTACATAGACAACTGTATCCGTTGATGCAAAGGAAATGCCAACTTCAATTAATCATAGTCGTAGAACAGTTTAAGTCTAGCACATGGGTTGACTAGGTTTAATTAGGAATTCTGAAGCCTGATTTTTAGGCTAAAGATCTGGAAAACTTTCTATGATAGCTGATATTGATCTACCAAATATTACAATTAATCACGAAACCATTCTATCATCGATGATATATTAAATATTAATGTACTCTATAGAATATGCATTATATGGGTCCCATAATACATAATAGTGTGATACAAATGTTGGTCCATTAAGATACCTCCAATAAAGAAGTGTTGACATTTTTAGTTAATTTTTAACTTCATGGCATGTCATGTATTGAAAAGTATTGTCTTGGTTCTACTTTAAATTTTAAAGCCTTGGCTAGTTAACTTTTACTTCATGATCGGCCGTTTTTCTTTAAGGTTTTAAGATGTTATTTTATCTGAATATACAGAATAAGTGTTTGTTTGAGTTTCTTAGAAAGCAAGTTATCTCTTTGCTGTCAGGATTATTGGAGAATACCAGCATGTAGAAGATTGGAACTCCAAATTTTCCATCTATTCAATTTCCAACTTCTAGTGAAAAACACATCTTAAATTGATTAAAAACTATGAATACTAAGCCAACAAACCAAATCTCAAGCTAATGATAATGTTGGACATCATTACAATTCCCCTTTCCTTTCTGACCTTGTTCCTCTCCATATCCATCTACATCCTTTTCTCCTACAATTCTAGGCCACACAAAAGGACACCATGCCCGCAATCTTACCCCGTAATCGGAAACCTTGTAGGTTTCCTCCGTAACCACCGCCGCTTCCATGATTGGGTTGCTGACATGCTTTCTGAGACCCCATCATTGACTCTCCAAGTCAACGGTTTCCTCAACCTCTCCCATGGAATTGCCACAGCCAATCCCCTCAATGTTGAGCACCTCCTCCTCTCCAACTCCCCGAACTACGTCAAAGGCTCTCGCTTTTACAACGTCCTCCACGAGCTCCTTGGCGATGGGATCTTCAATGTTGACGGGCAACTCTGGACCATCCAACGCAAGATAGCCAGCCATGAGTTCAATACCAAATCACTCAAGTACTTCATCACCGAAACCGTCGCATCTGAAATCTCAACACGCCTAATTCCTCTCCTGTCCAAGGCGTGTGATGATAACATAGTTATTGATCTACAAGACGTGTTACAAAAGTTTGGTTTTGACAACATATGTAATGTGGCTTTCGGTGTGGATCCTGCTTGCTTGAGTTCAGATCAGAAAAGTCATCAAAACATGGAAAGCTTGAGCTTTGCCAAAGCTTTTGATGAGGCTGTTGGGATTTGTTCATCAAGGTTTATGACTCCTCTGCCTCTTGTGTGGAAGGCTAAGCGATTCCTCAACATTGGATCAGAAAAACGACTCAAGGAAATGCTAAAAGTCATCAACACTTATGCCATGGATATTATAAGGTCCAAAGAGGTAAAATTGAGCATTAATTGTGATCAACAAGTGCCTAAAGATCAAGACTTATTATCAAGATTCATGACCTCACTTTCGAACATGGAGTTTCAAGACAAAGAGCAAAAGAGAAAGTTCCTTAAAGACATAGTCATTAGCTTCATTCTCGCCGGCAAAGACTCCACATCCACTGCACTAACTTGGTTCTTCTGGTTGATCTCTGCTCATCCACGGTCTGCCAACTTGATACACAAAGAGTTGTTGGAGGTGGCAAAGACGTCGCCCACACAAAGCTCATCGAGAACTTTCGGCTATGATGAGCTGAAGAAGCTGCACTATCTTCACGCGGCTCTATCAGAGGCCTTGAGATTGTTCCCTCCTGTCCCAATCAATTCGAGACTAGTAGTGTCGGATGATGTTTTGCCGGACGGGACACAAGTAAGAAAAGGGTGGTTTGCTGATTACTCTGCCTATGCAATGGGGAGGATGGAGGAGCTGTGGGGCCAGGACTGGAGGGAGTTCAAGCCCGAGAGATGGTTGGATGCTGATCATGGGGTGTTTCAGCCATTGGGTCCGTTCCGTTTCCCGGTGTTTCACGGTGGGCCGAGGATGTGTCTTGGGAAAGATATGGCTTATGTTCAGGTGAAGTCAGTTGCAGCAGCTGTGATGTGGGAGTTTGAGGTCATTGCTCTTGATGGTGGTGGCTGTACTGAGAATTTGATTAACCCACCTTATACATTGTCCTTATTGCTTAAAATGAAGGGCGGATTTCTTGTTAGGCTGAAGAGAAGAAAGCAACAATCTAATACATAAACTTAGCTGAATATTGATTGCAGCGCACATGACTTGGGCAACAAGAAAACCAAAAACAAAAAAACAAAAAAGATCGTCATTTGAAGGTATTGGATCTGAATCTGTAATATAGTAGCTTCTTATGTTGTGCTAATGACTGATATGTGTCGTTCATTAGTTTAGTAGTTGAACGCGACTTTGACTAACGGTGACCGTATCAATTGAGTCCAACTTATCATACTTATTTTCTTGGTTTGATCCTTTCATTCTTAAAACTTTTTTTCTTTGACAATTTAATTCTTGAATTTATAAAGAGTAGCAAGTATTTCTAATCGTTAACAATAGTAAAATCTCACAAAAGAGTGGCGAGTAATTTGAATCGCCCACAATTTTAGGGAATTTAGTGACTAATTGAGGGACTAAATTGCTGGGAATAAATTTTAAGCGACAAAATTTCCGAACTATAGAAGTTGAGGGGCACAAGTGCTAAAACATTATAACTACCGTCAAACTTTCATTAAAATCCATGAAAAAAAGGGTAAGTCGACTCCACTGGGGATCGAACCAGAATCTCTGGTTCCGTAGACCAGCGCCTTATCCATTGGGCCATGGAGTCTTGTCTGCATTTA